TTAGCAGTGCCGGGCAGTGGAAGTTTTTAACTGTCAGTCATCACTCTTGCTAGTAATAAATAGCCCATGGGGGCCGGAGAGATAGCACAACAGGTAAGGCACTTGCCTTTCACGCAGCTGACCCGGCATCCTACATGGTCCCCCGAGCACAACCAAATTGATTCCTGAGTACAGAGCCAGGAGCGGCTGAGCGTCGAGTGTGGCCCCCAAACCAAAATAGCACAGCAATAGCTCAAAGAACTAGAGCCCAGGCCATGCATGCTTGAGGGCCGAAGGTGTCAATCTTCACCACTCAGGCATAGCCTTATAGGACCCACCAGATACTGCTGGGTATGACCTTTGAACCATCAGACAAGTGGGTCAGGAGCAAGAGGACGGAGCCCTGGGTCACTGCACATAGCTTGGGAAGCCCAAAACACAAAAATAAAATTACTCTCTGATTCTGACCACATTTACTAAATGGATGGTTACACGGAAAATCAGATGAATCTGGATGACAAAACTGAACATTCAAAACACATTCAAAACACATTAACCAATTAATTACTTCTGGAGGGGGGACCACACCCAGGGGTGCTCAAGGGCCACACCTGGCAGTGGTAAGGGGGACCATATGCGGTGCTGAGGTTTGAATCACTGTTGAAGTCCCACCTGCAAGCAAGGCAAGCACCTTAACCTTGTAACTATCTTTCCAGCCCTACCTAAAAAACAAACAAACAAACAAACAAACAAAAAACCCTTGAGGCTGGAGCAATAGCACAGCAGGTAGGGCATTTGCCTTGCATGTGGCCGCGGTCAACCCGGGTTCGATTCCCAGCATCCTATATGGTTCCCTAAGCACGCTAGGAGTAATTCCTGAGTACAGAGCCAGGAGTGATCCCTGTGCATCGCCGGGTGTGACCCAAAAAGCAAAAACAAAACAAAAACCAAACTTCGTTATGCGATATTTTTACTTATTAAGTAGTCGCAAAAACAGTACAGAGGATTTATGTACCTTCACTGAACTTTCCTTAACAACTAGTATAATTATGAGTATCGACATAGGCACAGGTACAATGCTATAACTAAGCAGTTAACAAAACTTATTCAAATCTCACTAGTTTTCTCCTGATTTTTTTCTTTCTCGGGTGCTACCCTAGGAGCCCAGGTTGCCCCCTAACTATGCCTCCTTAGTAGTCTTCAATTTGTGGCAATTTCCCAGGCCTCCTTGCTCATTACCTTGAAACTTTTGATGATGGTAAATACCAGTCTGTTATTCGGGGGGGATTCTCTTGGAGGAGAAGTGATGAGAGGGGAGACTATGGGTGCTAGGTATCAAACCTGGGGCTCTAGCACCAAAGCCTGCCCTCCAACCCTTTGGGCTACTAGGTCCCCAGCCCCAGTATGTCACTCTCTAAAGCATCTCACTGTGTGGCTCAGCAGCGTGCAAGGCGAATGTTGGAAGTCACTGTGCTACCTTTCCACATCCCTCGACTTAAAAAACATCTAGTACAGTGGGTTGTGCCCCACCCCCTCAAAAAAAAAAAAAAGAAATAGAATTATTTATCTCTGGACAGAGATAGCTTAACAGGCTAGGTGCATGCTTTGCATATGGGAGGCCCAATCACTGGCACCTCATGGCCCCCCAAGAATGAACCCCAGCATAGGGCCAGAGTAGCCCTGGGACACCTCAGGATGTGGCCTCAAACCAAACTTTATACCCATAAATTTTATTTATTGGTTTTGGGGCTACAAACTGGCAATGCTCAGGGGGCAATTTGTGCTCTGCACTCAGGAATCACTCCTGGCAGTGCTCAAGGGTCCATTTGGGGTGTTGCCATGTGCAAGGCAAGTGCCCCACCTGCTGTACCATCTCTCCAGGCCATACCATATATTTTAATAAACCAGTTCTTATATTTTACTGTTTAGCCCAGTTTAAATAAAATTTCTCTCTCATTTACCACTTGTCAGAATAAGTTTAAAATGCCTCTGAATTTGGGTTTGTGTGGGAATTTCAATCACTATCAAAATGCTATGAAAACAGATCTATGCATTTACAGTGATCTCTAATGCAAACACATAATTAACATCTTAAAAGGTTAATTTAATAAATTAAGAAAAGAGTTGCTATTAAAACAAAATTCTGGGCTTTATCCCTTTTAACCTGATAATAACTCTGATAAATTTATTTAGATTTATAAACTACAGATCTATGTTCTCCAAGTTATTTGCAACACTAAAGAAGTGTTTATTTCTCTAACTCTCAGATTTCCTGATCTATGTTATGTTCAAAGTTTCAGTCATCTCTCATTACCTGATAAGCAAGCTAATTTTACTGTCCTCATAATCATCCCAAAATGTCTTCTGATGAATTAACTACAGAGTACTATACTAGATACCAAAACAGGGGTTATCTTAAAGGACAAACGAGCTTGATTAGTGTCCTAAGAAGATCCACAAACTACTTGTCCCATACTGTTCAAAGTCTTACCAGTATGATAATGAAAAATATATTTTCCTCTTAATTCTTTTGAAGAACAATGCCAATAAAAACAAGAGAAACCAAAGAAACTGATTCTTGAAAACGTACTATGTGTCAATGTTTACATGTTATTTTAATCCTCAAGTCAAATCGATGAAGTAGGGATCAGTACCTCTGCTTAGTTAATGAGGAAAGTAAGACTTGGAGAATAAATAATAACCAAAATTACAAAGCCAAACTGAGCCAGAGTTTGCACCCAAGACTCTTGATTTGAAATCCTCATCTCCTCAAGAGAACATTTATAGCCCTCAAGAGACTCCAATCTGAAAAGCACAATATTAGATAAAAGCTAATCTCAGAACTAAAGAATAACGTTCTCCTTCAGCCTGGCCAATTTTACTTTTGTTTTGGGGTCACAACTAGCAGTGCCTGAGGCTTACTCCTGCCCATGCTCAGGGGAGTACCCTGAGCACCCATCACTAGGTGCTGGGGATACGTGAGGCAAAGTGCCTTATGCCCTCCCTGGGCCATCTCTCTGGCCCTGGATAGACCAATGTTAACAGAGTAGGGGTTTGGGATAGTTAATAAACAGGTCCAAATGAAGCATGTAAACAGATAAATGAGCCTGGATTCGGGGACTGAACCTGTTGGGATGTGCTCAAGACAGCAGTTATGACAACACTCACTCACAATATGCCTCCTGTTCAATCCCCACAGTGACCCTACAATCCCACATGATGATCACCTCCATTTCAGGAATGGAGAACCTAGCACCATGACTGCATGGGTTTTGCCTAACTCAGTGTCTAGACTGGAATTCAAACTCAGGCATCTGGTCCTCAACCATTACAATAAAAACACACTTAACCATTACAATGAAAACCAATCTGGGTACATATGAAGATTTGGAAATTTCAAAACATGAAAAAAAGTGAACTATGTCAAAAGTTTTTGAAAAACAAGAATGATTTATTTGAAAAAATTCTATGATGTAGGATATAAAATTATCTATTACATCACTTATGCACTTAAATACATAAAATTCTATGTAATATATACTGATGTATATACTTGGGCTGGAGCGATAGCACAGTGGATAGGGCGTTTGCCTTGCACACGGCCGACCCTGCAAACCTGAGTTCGATTCCTCCGCCCCTCTCGGAGAGCCCGGCAAGCTACTGAGAGTATCTTACCCACACGGCAGAGCCTGGCAGGCTCCCCGTGAGGTATTTGATATGCCAAACACAGTAACAAAAACTCTTACAATGGAGATGTTACTGGGCCCGCTCAAGCAAATCGATGAACAACGGGAGGACAGTGCAGTGCTACAGTGCTATGACAATTTAACTATATTTAAAGCAAAGAACCTCCAAATCAAAAAATGAATGAAAAGCTATTTTGCACTACTGCAAAGTTAAAGAAAAGGTAGCTCCTGGAAATTTTGTTGAATAAATACTAAAACAGGTTAAAGTGGTTATGAAAACGGCTTCTTTGAAGATATTTGAAAATGAAGTAGATCCATATTTGTCTTAGGAAGGTTCTAAGAAGGATATGGAATTAACTATCTGCCTAAAACTGTCCTAATAGAATGAAATTAAGATATTTTTTGCAATATGCACTGAATTGCAAGTAGTTCTTTAACACAGAGGCTTTCTGTGAATGAGAGTTATAAAGAAACTGAATTAAAAAGTTTAGTGATTCTAATTCTTATTTTTACTCCTTCTTTTGTCTGTTTATGTTATGACTCCATTAAAGAGATCACACAGGTGAGGATATTCCTACAATAAGAAATTCGTTCCCTCAAAAAACCTTATTTTTTCACCTCATTTAAACACAATATTTTGGATACTACATTATGGTATCATAAAATTAAACCAATACAATTTCTAAATTGTTCGACAGAAATCTAAAAACCTACAACGGTTTCATCTATTTTGGCTGGTTTTGTAATTATTCCTCTTTTAGTAATAAGGAGATATTATTTGACCTATTCATTCACAATAGTAGAAAAGTAAAGCTATGATTTCCACTTTAGAATAAGAAAAATTGAGTCTCAAGAAATTTGGGCCAGAGCAATAGTATAGTGGGTCGGGCACGTGGTCAACCCGGATTCAATCCCTGGCATCCCATACGGTCCCCCAAGCTCTGCCAGGAGTAATTCCTGAGTGCAGAGACAGGAGTAGCCCCTGAGCATTGCTGGGTGTGACCCAAAAAGCAAACGAAACAAAACAACCACAAATATTATTTTATTATTGATTTAAAATTTATTTGCTGGGGGTGTGTGTGTGTGTGTGTGTATGTGTGTGTGTGTGTGTGTGTGTGTGTGTTGAAGTCAGACTTGGCAGTGTGTAGGAACTATTCCTGGCCCTGTGCTCAGCAGCTATGAATGACCTCTAACAGTGCCTGAGGGACCATATGTGATATGGGGGATCAAACTGGGATTGGCCATAAGCAAGGCAAGAGCTTTACCTACTGTACTATACTGTATCTCTGGCCCTTAAATGTTAATTACTCTTTTGATTCTTAAAAGCGTACTCACCGAAGTTTCCTTCCTTTGCTGGCTTTTCTATCGACTTTCTTATGAATTTTGCTTCGTAACTTCTGGATTGCAAGCCACTGCCTAGGAAAATTCATAAGCAATGTTATTCATAAGCACATCATCACTTACAGAAATAATTACATGTATCAACAAGACATTGACAATTTTTTCACAACCCCTCCAGAAAGAAATGATCAACTCACATAATGTATAATGTTCCTCAAGGCAGTCTGGGACTAAAGTGACCAGTAAGTTGAAGAGCATTTGGGCAATGGCGAAACACCAAATGGCAGTAAAAAATTCTAAAGCAAAATTGGTTAACAATGCTCCTCAGTTTATGGAGTTGTTGTGACAGGTACTAAAACTAGAGGTCTGCGGGGCCATCCACCCCACTGAGCAGAGCTGCCTGAGTTTGCTTTTCATCTTTCAGTCAGGCAGCATGTTCTGTGGTGGCTGTTTAAGTTGACCGCGTGAATTCTTTGTGTTCAATTTTCTCTATATTAGTACATACTCAAGTGCTTGTTCTTCCCAATTCTGCCAAATTTTTATAATTATTTACTACTGGAAATAGTTTCAAAGCCATTTTACTTAGTTCTTCATTTCATCTGGAATATTTTAGACTGTGTTGCTAAAAGGGTTCTTCTCCCCAATAAACTCTAAATGCCCTGAATGCCTGTCATGCATAAAAAAGAAGATTCAGAGCAATTCTTCACTATCAAATATTCAATTGGCTTTAAGATTTCCCAGATTGTCTTAAATTTTTTTAAAAAAATTACTGGAGGCACACTGTTTTATAACATTATGTAAGTTTTAGGAATACAGCATTATAGGCTGACTTCTGTTTACATTTCATAATAATCAGAAAAGTCTAGTTCCCATCTACCACTACAGAATTGATACACCCTTTACCCATTTCATCTGTTCACCACCGCTCTCCTCCCCTCTGGTAACCACCAGTCTGTTCCCAGATTACAGGTGCTTTATTTGAACCAGGATTCAAACAAAATTCACATATTCAGCAGTCATTTTTAAACTGGAAGCAGTTAATTTTCAAATAAGAATACCATTCTACAAAATCTTCTGGTGAAAACTGTAGGGGTGCAGAAGGAGAAACAGCAGCAGCTAGTCATCTTACCTGACTTATACAAGGGAAATTCAACATCAGAAGAAAAAAAAATCTGGGGAAATCCAATTACTGTAATCTTAATATAATCTTAATTACCATAATCTATTTTATTGTAAAGTCAGATAAACGTACAATATAATCACCACTTAAATGCAATTTGCTCTATCACATTAAATTTATAGTGAACGGCACTCCACAGCGTTCCAGAGATAGTCAAAATATCAACAACATTCTACCCTAAAACTCGAAGACTGTTTTGCTCAAATGAAATTATTTTATTGACAATTTTTCATTGCTTTCTCAAAATGCTGCTCGGCCCAGAATCCCATTCTGGCCCTTCTCGCTTTTGTTTCCTTTCGTGCTTTTGCAACTGATGGCTCGTGGCTATTTAAATGTACACTATTCATTAGGTAGCACTCTAAATGCCCTTTTTATTTTCCAACCACAGGCTGGAGCATACACACAAGAGGCTTCCTTCACTACTTTACATTCTACCCTGACGTGTGGGTAATGCTGCTGTGTTCCGTTTCTAATTGTGCAGAAGCTGTTACTGAAGGGTGGATGTCTAAATCAGCAGATTGCCACCCAGCAGATCTGACTATGAGCAAGGAACCTGTTGTGCGCAGAACGGCGTTGGTTCGTTCTGACAGCTGGGAGCACACGTTTGGGCAGCTGCTTCCCCCCAATGCTCAGAGACCCATGCAGTCTCAAGAGGAGCCAGAGAACAAAGAATAGTTTGAACAAACACATTTTTCAAAGGACAGGTTTAGATGTTTTACAAACTCTCTTTAAGCTGCACTACGGTAAGGCAAATGCAACTGCCATTCAGATTAGCCTTTCTTTGTCTTTCCAGCTCTTCTTATCTTGCTGAACTTTAATAATTGGAAGCAGAATCAAGGAAACTCAACGGGAGAAACTTGCATAGGCTGCTTGCGGGAATGGAAAGCCAACTCTACGTTACCTTCCCATGGCGACCTGATCGTTGGGATCCAAGGAACTGGTCTTCCGTTCTATGAGTTCTCGAAGGAGCTAGGAGGGAAATGGAAAGCAACTGATTTATTTAGTGTCTCCCCAGCACCAACTGACTTAAACAGGGCTCAGCAGGAACTCTGAAAGGCGCAGTGACAGCTCTAAAACTACAATCAATAATGGATAACCCAGTGGCAAGAACATGACCAAATTCCCACAAACCCTTTCATATTTATATATCTTTAAAAAGGTAGCTTAGCAATAGCTGAGAACAGAAGTCCATTTGGAAGACTTATTGTACTGCAGTTCATTTCAAATGGATCAATGAGTGTGCAAGATTCCCTTCACTGTTTTTATGATTAGTTTTGTCCATCTCATCGATAGCAATGGAGAATCTTTAAAAGGTCAGGCGGGAAGGGCTGTGTGATGAAAGGGAAAATGCATCAGCTCCTTACCAATGGGAAAATTGGACCCAGTTACCTTCTGACCCACAGCCTCCAGCAGTCGGAACAGTCTTCCTTAGGCATAAGCCTTTATTATATGTAATTTCAAGTATAACAATTTTAAGAACCTGAAGAAAGTAGGTGAAAAATGCAACCGAGAACCAGTATCTCTTCACATAATGCCACAGAAACTCCAGTTACACTACCACTCTCCTCTTAATCCTGAGTAACTTGCATGCAAGTCTAACTCTGTATCTTTTTTTTTCTTTTTGGGCCACACTCGGCAATGCACAGGGATTACTCCTGGCTCTGCACTCCTGGCAGTGCTCAGGGGACCATATGGGATGCTGGGAATCAAACCCGGGTTGGCCACGTGCAAGGCAAATGCCCTACCCTCTGTGCTATCTCTCCAGCCCCCTAACTCTGTATCTTTTGCACAGATTTAAGACTCCAAAGAGAAGCAACGGATTGAAAAGGAGGGAAAATTTTACATTCCAATAAGCCTACACATTTCTCCTGTGCAAGTGCCATGTGCAGAGAAAAGGTGGCTGAGATAAAAATCCTCCAAATCTTTTGAGGGAAGTCGAAGGGAAGATACTCACATAAATGAGTTCCTACTGATCATCTGTCAATAATCAGGGCCTGACCTTCAAACTTGTTAACATCCCTGGGCTAAGGGTCAGTGAGCCAGTCTTGTGTGAAAAAGGCTTAGGTTCCATCTCCAGCACCCCATGGCCCCCCAAAGGCACTGCTGGAAATGACCCTCGAGCACAGTACTGGAAAAAGCCCCTAAACACCACCCCACCCCACCCCCGTGGCAAACACCCAAACTAGTTTCTACACACAAACACACACACACACACACACACACACACACACGTAATTTTTTGTAATCAAGGCATGGTTAACAACAGAGATATTTTACCAAGTTTTAATAGCTGACTGTCTGAGGGAAGACAGAGAAGGAGGGAATGAATACCTATGAAAGTAGATTTTCATTCGGTTGTATAAGTAGGCACTGGAAGAAGTAAAACAAATTTATAAAACAAAACAAAACAAAACAAAAAAACGCACTTCCATGGCTGGGGACACAGCTCAGTGGTCGAGAACATGCCTCGCATGTGTAACAACCCAGAATTGGGGATTAAAGAAAAAATCATTTCCATATAAGATGAATCTTTACGGAAAAGGGGGAAAAAAGATCTTTCTCCATCACAATTTAAAAAGCCTCCTATGCTTTTTTTTTTCATTTGTTTATTTTGGGCATTATTGTTACAGCAATTACGCTTAAAAATGTGGGGACCAGAGGCCACTGGTTTATTATCACTAGAAAACAGCAAGCTATTTCTCTACCCTGTTTATCTGATTGATTCCCAACATCTTTCTGGCAGCCAATCTATCAGTTTATCTCTCCTACTTCATCACAGTCACTTCTGGCAGCTAAATACAAGATCCAAATCCAGTGTTACACAGACATACGACACAGTAAACCTATGTAACACTGCTGCTCTGTAAACAGCTGCCCTTAAGGCTAAGCGCAAATGGGCTTCTGGTTTCTAGTCAATATTCTGTCAAAAGCAAGGGTGAGAGGGTAGATGAGGGAAAATTTAAGAATGAAACTTTTTTTTTAATAAAGAGGAAGAAGAAAAAGAAAAAAATTTAAAGAAAAGCACAGATCTTATTTCATTGCCTTTACTTTTTTTTTTTTTAAAGTACATACGAAATCACAACAATTATTCCTGGTTTTCCTAATCAACTGATTCCTTGGGCCCTCAGAGCCACTGGAAACCGCTCAAACGTACTCTCGCTCATGGGAGATGGCCCCCAACACATCAGGGGTGATTCTCTGAAAGGCCACAACCCCAATGGTGCTCCCGAAAGGCTGGGAATGAGAGCTGTACCACCACCGGCATTTATCCTACCTGCAGTGGCCTCTGCAATTCTGGCACCAAGTTGGTGCTAAGATGACTTACTTTCAAAGTAATAAAGGTGCTCAAAGAACAAAGGTGTTCCTTATGTACTGGGGGTTTGGGTTTGCATTTTTATGACCCAGCCACCTTGCACAGCTATTTTTAGTCATTCAAAATTGGTCTTAAAGGTCTATTTAGATAAATCACATTTTTTCAGTCCAACTTTTCAGAAAATCCTGTTATATATACTAGCTGTGTCACTGTCACTGTCCTCCTGTTGTTCATCGATTTGTTCAAGCGGGCCCAGTAACGTCTCCATTGGAGACTTTGTTGTTACTGTGTTTTGGCATATCGAATACATCACGGGTAGCTTGCCAGGCTCTACCGTGCGGGGTAGATACTCTCGGTAGCTTGCCAGGCTCTCCGAGAGGGGCGGAGGAATCGAACTCGGGTCGGCCATGTTTGGCTGCATGCAAGGCAAACGCCCTACCGCTGTGCTATCACTCCAGCAGCTGGAGCGATATACTAGCTAGGAATGAGAAAGTATCAAGAAAATAGAACCAAAGTAGTCTCATAACTGTTGTGGCTTCCTCATTAATTCCTTTTGCTGGGTTTAAATTTAATTAAGGAAGTCACTTTCAAAAAGTTGCTAGATCACATGTTTCGCATGCAGGAGCTCTGGGTTGGCTCACTGGTACCACATGGTCCCCTGAGCATTGCCAGGCGGGAATAGCTGGTGAGCACCACAAGTGTGTCCCCTACCTCAAAAAAGGGGTAAAAACAATTTCCAGAAAATGAATCTTAGGAATGTTACCAAAGATTTAAATTTTACTTCTCATTTCAATTTTTTTTAGGGAGTGGGGGAGGGGCTATACCCAGCAGCACTACTCCTGGTTTAGTACTGGGGGACTAGCTCAGGGCCTCCAGCCTGCAAAGCATGCACACTAGTCCTTTAAGCTACCTCCCTGGTCCTCCTTTCAATTTTTACAGTTTAACTTCATGAGCAAACATTTCCATTAAAATTCAGATTAATGTGCTAGTTGCTAAGTTTTCATACAGACAATGATGATACAGTATTTTTAATTATCTGTGACCCAGAAAACAGAGAGATGCCTCAATTATTTTTCCAGTCAGTTATAATTCCTCTAGAGTGTCAATTCAGAAAAGCTTCACATTGCTTCTCTACTTCTAGGAGAGAACTATCATGGATGCAGTGAGAGTTTTCCAGGTCAACCCACAGAAACCTACTTAACCCATAACAACATGCATGAGGAATAGCACCGACGGAACTACTCAGCATCTAATCAGCATTTATAATACTCTGCCCAGAAAAATGCATGCCAGCCACAGTTAAAAATGGCAGATTGAACACATTAGTTTATATCGCTTCTCCCTTCTCACCCCTCTGAAAGACAGTAGGGGAATAAAATATATGTATTAACTCACAAGAATGAAGAAAAAGGAAGAGCTAATGAGAGCAGATTTTCATAAATTTTTCAAAGACAGCCAGGAGATGGAGGAAAAGGAAGTTATTACCCAAGCGCCCTGAGGGAATTAAAGGTGAGGGCGGGGCTAATTAGACACACAAAATCCCAGCCAAGACAGGTTACCAGGAAAAGGGGAGAAGGGCCTGGCCAGGGCAAAAGGAATGGTCCCTCTTCACTATTCCATACAGTTAAGTGATAACCTCTCCCACCTCTCCTCACCATGAGAAAAGAAATTTTCATTTTCAGGAAAAAAAAAAAGTCACTGAAGCTCCAGACTACATAGATTGTGGGACAGACGGCAGAAGGCATGTGGGGAAGGCTGGTCGCTGGAGTCTTCCAGCTCCTCCCCCTGCCCTGGGGACAGAATGACAGCATCCAGAGAAAAGACATCCTGGGCAGGAGAAGTTTCTGGAGTGTTTTCTGGAGAAAACGAAACCCACTTTTGCCCAAAGAAAGATTCCCAAGTTCTGGCATTTAAGAGTAGACTAGCCAGTAGGTTGGTTTACAGGAGGTTTTGTTGCTGTCATTGGTGTTCTGGCGTCACACCCAGCAGTGCTCAGGACTTAGTCTTGGCTCTGAGCTCACTGGTCACTCCTAGAGGTGCTCAGGAAGCAAACCAAGGCAGCCAGCTGCGTGCACGACAAGCACCCTACCCACTGTACTCTCACTCCAGCACACCCACTTTTTCAAAGCAATTTTATTTAGAAAAATGTAAGTGAAAGGAGGTAGGGAGGAAATGGGGAGAGAGAGACAGACAGACAGACAGAGACACAGACAGAGACAGAGAGAGACAGAGACAGAGAGAGAGAGGGAGAGAGAGGGAGAGGAGGAGAGAGAGAGAGAGTATATACATTGCAAGCTGTGATGTGCAAGAGAATGTACCTTGGGCACCTTTTAAACATGAGGAGTCGATCTGGGGTCGCCAGCATCTGAGGGAAACCCGAGACAATGATACCCCAGCAAACAGGGAGTCAATAAAGCAATGTAGGGACAAAGAAAACCTTAGGAAGGGCAGAAGGTGGACACCCTCAGAGAAACTAGGAATATACACTTTCATAAGATGTGATGAGCAAAGAGAAAAACAAGAAATTAAACAAAGGGTTGGAACTATAGTACAGCGAGTAGGGTGTTTGCCTTGCACACGTCAACCTGGGTTTGATCCTCAGCATCCCATAAGGTCCCCCAAGCACTGCCAGGAGTTAATTCCTGATTGCAGAACC